TCCTTTACCTTGAGATTATCTTCAATAAGCTGGACACCACCTTCGTACCAGACATTGCTGTCTTGATTCCTAAAGACATCGCCGTAAACACCTGTGGAAAAAAGAGATGGGATTAGAAATGGGAACTTAATTAATAGTCCCAGTTAACGCAGTGCTTAGAGTAGCATTCAACTGAGTGTCGTAAAGCCAAAACCAAAGTAACCACTCGCCAATAAGAAAGGACCCAGGTAATCCATTGGACCAATCAGAACTCGAAGCAAACACATGTGGCTGATGGGAAGCGCGAGACTATTTACTGAATCATGTTACCATTTGCATCATTGAGAGCTAACCGTAAACAGGCTAACCAGAGCGTTATTTAGGCTAACCTGAATGATATTCAGGCTAATGCACTCGCATTTATACGGTTACCTTTACAAAGTATTCTTTCACACCNCAGAGCGTTATTTAGGCTAACCTGAATGATATTCAGGCTAATGCACTCGCATTTATACGGTTACCTTTACCAAGTATTCTTTCACACCGAATCTCTGGCGTTTCTCGAGTGACGAGAGAGTCCAGAAAGTATCTGAGTTGTCAAATGCGCAATCTTTGATTACAACTACCATGACTCCTTGCTGGCGCGCCTCTTAGAGAGAACTGTCGTAACCTGGGATCACATACTCCATAAAAGCATATACTCCATAAAAAAGAGGGCTGATCGCAGATTTGGACTGTCGGCAAAATAGAGTTGATAATTTATGCCGTAATATGAGCTCAGTACTGTTAGTGTTGAATTTAAAATTTTAATTTGACATTGACATTGTTGTAAATGTGCTAATATTATCAATTCTGTTATTTTGAGCACTACAGATTCAGAAGTATTAGCTGTCAGCGCAAACTTTATATCGAGCACTCTGCCGAATTCGGCTCTCTGGGTTTTGTGAACAGACCTCAAACTCAGAATTTTGATACCCGACATCTACATACGAGAATTATGTTTGCGAAACCCAAATAAGACAAAAGGACGATATCAGATTACAAACATTGTTTTTCTCATTTAAATGTATGTAGGAGAAAAAGTTAAACACATGCAAGAACTCTTTGTTTGACCAGCCAATAACTCCTTGGTTGGCATAATAATTACAACAGGCGACTGATAACTG